ACTGGTCTTCTAATGCAGATGAAGCTTTTATTAAGTTGAAATCTGTCATGAGTGCAACCCCTATACTTCGACTGCCAAATTTCACTCTTCCCTTCACCATCGAATCCGATGTATCCAACTTTGGTGTAGGTGCAGTGTTGCTACAGGAAGACAGACCAATTTCATACTTTAGTAAGAAGCTCGGACCTCGAATGCAAGCAACCTCCACTTATGTGAGAGAGCTCTATGCAGTCACGGAAGCAGTCAAACGTTGGAGGCATTACTTGTTGGGATCGAAGTCAATTATCAAAACAGATCATAGAAGTCTTAAAGAATTGTTAACACAAACAATTTCTACTCCTGAACAACAAAATTATGTTTGCAAGTTACTGGGATTTGATTTCATCATCGAATACAAGAGTGGATCTTCCAATCTTGTGGCAGATGCTTTATCCAGAAGCTTGGAGGATAATTCGGTTGCAGAAGCTTCTATGTTACATTTGGTTTCTTCACCAATGTATGAATTGGTTGATCAGATTCGTGATGAAAATGCTACTGACAGTTATTTGTTGGAATTACATCAACAGATTCGTGACAAAAGCTGTTTGGATGATGCAATCATTGTTAAAGATGGTATCTTATTCCATAGGGGAAGATATTTGATTAGTCCCACTTCCACCTTAAGACATGCATTATTAAGAGAAGCTCACTCTTCACCCTTAGGAGGGCATGCAGGAATTGCTCGCACATTCTTACGGTTAACAGCTTCTTTTTATTGGGTTCACATGCGCAAGGAGGTTGCTGACTTTGTGAGGGAGTGTCACACTTGTCAGTATGTTAAGACTACTACTTCTCCTCCTTTGGGACTTCTGCATCCCTTACCAATACCTGAGGGTGTTTTTGAGGATCTGAGCTTAGACTTTATTACTGGATTACCTCTTTCAGCCGGTTTTTCTACAATATTGGTGACTGTGGATCGTTTAACGAAGTATGCCCACTTTGGGGGTCTACTTGCCACTTATACAGCAACATCAGTGGCCATATTGTTTTGTGACATGGTAGTCAAGTTACATGGCTTTCCTAACACATTAATTTCTGACAGGGACCGAATTTTCATCAGCCATTTTTGGTCTACATTGTTCAAGATGAGTGGCACTACCTTGAAGATGAGCTTCGCTTACCACCCCCAAACGGTTGGCCAAACTGAAGTTACCAATCGGTATCTGGAACAATACTTGAGAGCTTTTTGTCATGACCAAAATGGGAAGTGGTCGCTGTACTTGGGATGGGCTGAATTACATTACAATACAGCACACCATTCTTCCATTGGAATGTCACCCTTCCAAGCTTTATATGGTAAATCACCCACTTTGATTCCAGCTTATACTAAGGGTTCTGTGCGCGTTGCTGCTATAGACACCTTGGTATCCAACATAAATGACTTACTTGTAAGCCTCAAGAGTCATTTGCAAGCAGCTCAGAATCGAATGAAGATCACAACTGATAGACATCGACAAGACAAGGAGTTTAATATTGGGGACTTAGTTTTAGGGAAGCTCCAGCCTTATAGGCAAATTTCTGTAGCCAGAAGAGGGAATCAGAAGCTTGCTAAGCGTTATTATGGTCCCTTCCCTGTTAAAAAGGTATTGAGTTTTGTGGCATATCAGTTGGAATTGCCTCCTGAATCTCGCATTCACCCCACATTCCACATATCAGTTTTGAAGGCCTTCCAAGGAAATCCTCACGTTCCTATGCTTGATTTGCCTTCCACTTATTGTGAGAATAAGCCAGTTCAGCAACCATTGGTTGTCCTTGATGTTCGAGTTCTCAATCCTGATGGCACACCTACTAATCAGTGGCTGGTGCAGTGGTCTCACTCATTGCTTGAAGATGCAACATGGGAAGATGAAGAAGATCTTCGTCGGTTTTATCCTGAATTGGACCTTGTGGTCAAGGTCCCTTTTGAAGGAGGGACAAGTGATACGAATGCAGCTAAAGGAACCACTGCTTTGGAAGCCAATAACGCAACAATAAAGGTTGCAACTGGATCGAATAGGCCCAAAAGAATAACTGGAGCTCCAAGTTGGGGTGTGAACTTCCAGGCCCATTGATGTTAGAAATCGTTGGCCTTTTCTGTGTAATTAGAAAGTCGGTTAGTTAGTTGTTAGGCTGGTTAGTTCGTTGTTGTATAAATAGATGTAAAAGAAGGGTATTGAATAATAATCATTTCGGTTCTTCTATTAAGAGGCTCTCTCTTATCAATATCTCTACTTGAACGCGTATATTTTTTTAGTAAAATGAGAATTTTTATTTTGTATATATAAATTAATTTCAATTGGATATTTATTTTTTTAGTGTTAATGTTTGATTCAACAACATATTATTTTTTAGTAGGATTGGTGGTCTGTTATATTTATAAACGATTTGGCATAGACATTGAGTTGAGAATTTCTCAAATTCATCTAGTAATTGAATATTAATTTTATATGTTATCACATCCCAGTTGTTATAGATTCTATTGTTCACTCCTTGAGTTACATTGCAACTTGTTGAGGCTTTGAAAAGAGCCTCTAAATATTATGTGGGCTAACTGATTATTACATAAATTTGGAAGAATATGACCTAACTAATAGTATTCGTACCAAACACACTTTGCTAAAAAATTGCTAATGGTTGTTCATTTTATTTTTCTTAGGTGATCAAAAAACCCAAGCTCAAGGTTCAACAATAACCCATATGATCCATAAACAAAGGTTAAACCTCAAGTCCAGCCCAACACTGAGGGACAAGATAGGAAAAACAAAAATAATAAAGGACAGAAGCGAAAAAGAGAAAAAGAAAGAGAGTAACCCATCGAAGGTTACTCATTTCGATCAGAAATCAAAATCAAACATCAAAAGAAACCCTAAGCCTCTTTTCCCTATCAATTTCTTTCTCTGGGTACCGTAATACACATTCCTATCCAGTCCTAACCAACCTTCCTTGCAATTTTTCCAAACCCACGGCCCATAAACTCATCTTATGTTTTACTCTCTCCCAAAAATCCACCCCAACCCATTACCTTAACCAACCCACACTCGCAACAAGACAAAAACCTAATTGGCATCATTCTGAAGGGACAAGGTTCGTACGTGAGGAGGGGATTTCAGTTGTTGATCATTGGTGGTCCTAGACAAAGGAAGGATCGAGCATTTAGTAGAGGAGGACTACACGTGTACGTTGATCCAATGGCTCAAGGGTTGTTGCATGCAAGGAGTGAGAAATATAAAAAGGAATTTGAGGGTAAAGAAAAAGGTCTACTTTTGACTTCGTCTTGTTCTTTTATGATATTCTCCAATTTTGGGTTTTTGGATACTGTTAATGGTTCTTGTTAATTTTATTTAGTATAGCACATCTTATGATACTGCTTTTGTCTTAGAAATTGTTCCGGGTTCATACATCTGACTAGCTATGCGTGTGGACATCCATCACGAGAACTCAGAAGTATCTTTGCCCGGACAAGCAGTTAAGAAGCATGCGCAGCATAACCCAATGTGGGCCCTCCCACGTTTCCATGATAGCAAAGATAGCAACCCACGATTGGAATAACTACCTAAGGCAAGAGATATAAATATCAAAGATATGTGCCTAACAGAGGGGGATTAGAACCATACCATAACCATACTAATGTTCATACAGAACATTTGGCGCCCTCTGTGGGAATAGGTAAAAAGATTCCTACGCCTTTTCTTGAGTCATGGCAAGCAACTACCATGATGACGGAGCGGAAGACAACAGACGATACCTAGGAGAGGAAGATTCTTTTCGATCCAGTGGAAGGAGTCAATCTCTGGACACTATTGGTGAAGCTTTAATTCAGTTAGTTGAGGATATCAGGAATCAACAACATCTTGAAGGAGGGCAAAGGAGAAGGGGAGTAGAGGAAATGCATCCTGTAAAGAATGAGCCACAATCACCCAATAGAGGAGGAGATTCTTTGTCTCCTCTTCCTAGTTATATTCCTTTATCACTCCAACGATGAGGAGAAATAGAGGAAACGAAGGAAGGAGATGATGCCCTTGTCAAGAGTCAAGAAGTTCTCCAGAAAGGGGAGGCTATCAAGGAGGAGGACGAGGAACAAATCCGCGAGTAGGAGAAAGGATACCTGAGGAATATGCCCGGAGAACTGGCCGAGTTAGGCAATATCAGAATGGAGAAGATGAACAGGTGGAAGGAGAAGTGATATGGGAGGAAGAACAGTATTTGGGAGCCCGTCAAGATTATACTCGGCGAGATGAACGAGAGGTAAACAGAGGTCGATATGAAGAACCTTATCAAAGGTGGAGGCCGGAAGGAGGAAGAAGTTATGGCAATCATAGAGGTGAGGTTCCACGAGATGATACCGAGTATCATTACTGGGGTAGAGATCAAAGTCAAAGAGATGGAAGGCGACAAGTGAATCATAATCCTAGGAATTGGGATTATCAGCATTACAGACCAGGACAGACTGAAGGCTTGGGTCCTCGTTATGGCAATAGACAAATGACCAACAGGGAACAGGATGCACCCGTTTGGAATGGACAATTCGGAGGAGCCCAACAGGGGATCCCGGCACCCCCATTAATCAGGGGCCATCAGGAACTCCTTTGTTAGGGAGGCTTAGAGTCGAACCAATCCCGGTTTGGTTTAAGCAACCAAGTGACCTGAAAGCGTACGATGGAAGTTTAGACCCAAAGGAGTTCGTGATAGTATTCCGAGCAGCAATGTCCTTATATGGTGAATCAGATTCGTTGTTGTGTCGAACATTTCCTGTGTTTTTGAGAAAACAGGCTTTGGAGTGGTTTACAGCCTTGCCAGATAATTCCATCAAAAGTTGGGTGGACTTATCACAACGGTTCGTGCAACAGTTTGCTCATTGCGGACCCCAGCCTAAAACAACGCATAATTTGTGCGGAATAAGACAAAAGCCCGGAGAAAAGTTGCGGGATTATTATGAACGTTTTTAGGAAGAAGCAAGACAAGTTAAGGGCTTAGAAAATTAAATGTACCTGTTGTTGTTTACTATTGGATTACAATCCGGAGGAATTGCCAACTCGTTAGCCAAAAAGTCTCCGGTTACAAAGGAAGATTTGCTAGAAAGAATCAAAAAGTATATTGATTTAGAAGAATTTACATCTTCACAAAAGCAAATTGAGCAAGGTTTTCAGGAGGCAAGTCAAAGTCGGAGGCCGGAGAAGCCAGCAGGAAGAGGGAAATTTGAAGAGCGACGACCTCGTCTAGTCGGAGAAAGATTCAGATTTCCATATCAGAGGGAGTTCACACCTTTGAACACGCCTAGAGCCCAGATACTTAAAGAAGTGATGTCGGCAGAAATGAGAAATGTCTCAAGGCCGCCACCCCTTCAGCCAAAGTTTCCAGACAAAACCAGATGGTGCGAATTCCATCAAGGGTACGGACATTATACAAACGACTGTTTTAATTTACAGAATGTCATTGAGCGGTTGATCAAGGAAAGAAAGTTACAAAAGTATGTGTGAAGATATGTAGATGTTGGCAATGAGGATAAATCTCGACGACCATACCGTAGTAGGAGTCCACCAGGAGGAAGAGGACAAGAGGCAGGCAAGATTCCACAACAAAAGCAAACAGCTCCCAATCCGGTCCAGTTAGGTCACGTATGCACTATAGCCAGAGGTCGAGCAGGAGGAGGAGAATCGAGTAATGCTCGGAAGAAGCATTTAAAGATGTGCATGGCCATTTCAGATAAGCCACGTTTCAAAGAAGAAAGAAGGAAGACGGGAAAAAAAATAGTTTTTGAGGACCTAGATGATGAGATAATTGATCCAGAGCATGATGATCCTTTAGTCATTTCTGGGTTGCTAGCAAATTATCGTGTTGATAGAACGCTGGTAGACGTATGGAGTTCGGTGGACATTATATTCTTGGATGCGTTTAGAAGAATGGATTTGGATTATGACCAGTTAGAGCCATATGGAGCCGAGTTATTAGCTTTCACAGGAGATAAAATTAAGCCATTGAGATATATCCCATTGAGGATGACTTTAGGCAAGGCACCCGCGCACAAAACTGTCACCTAGATGTTTGCAGTAGTAGATTTGAGCTTGGCATATAATGTTATCTTGAGGCGGCCATATATGAAGAAGATTAAGATCTTTTTGTCGATTGATCAGTTGGCTATGAAGTTTGTGGCCAAAGATGGGTCAGTAGCTACGGTAAAGGCAGACCAAGTCGTTGCTCGGAGTTGTTATAATATGAGTCTACGAGTTCCGCAAGCAAGTAAGGAGAAAAACATTAGGGAGCCAGCACAACAAGTTAACGAAGGAAAGGTACAAAGAAAAGAAGAAGAGAGAAAAAAAGAACAAGTAATGGTAGTTGGGTTGGATCCTAGGGAGGAAGACAAGGCAGATAGGTCGGAACCCGCTGGTGCTATGGTAGAAGTTTAATTAGGGAGAGCTCCACAGCAATGTACTAAGATGGGGTTCGAGTTGGAGCTCGAGGTGGCATAAAATTTGAAGGAGTTGTTAAAAAAGAATGCTGATTTGTTTGCATGGAAACCTTAAGATATGCCCGGGATGGATCCAGCATTGTCTTGCCATCGCTTGGCAATGATTCCAGGAGTAAAGCCAAGAGCTCAGAAGAAACAGAGATTTTGTTTAGAAAGGAGGAAGGCCATCGAAGAAAAGACACAAGAGCTTTTAGAAGCGGGGTTTATTAGAGAAATAATATGCTACGTTGTTAGCCAACCCGGTGTTGATAAGGAAGCCGGATGGGAAGTGGATAATGTGCACAGACTATACAGATTTGAATAAAGTTTGCCCCAAAGACCCATTTCCATTACCAAGTATTGACCATTTAGTTGACAGTGCCTCCGGGTACAAGGTGTTGTCATTTATGGATGCATATTTCGGGTATAATCAGATACCGTTATGGAAGGAAGATCAAGAAAAAACAGTGTTCTTAACTGAGAATGCAGTGTACTGTTACAATGTCATGCCGTTTGGATTGAAGAATGTCGGGGCAACGTATATGAGGATGATGAATAAGGTGTTTAAGGCACAAATGGGTAGAATGTTGGAAGTGTACATGGATGATATGATTGTAAAGTCGGAAGACGGCAGGACACATTTACAAGACTTACAAGAGGTTTTCGAGCAAGTCAGGAAGCATAATATGCGTTTAAACCCAAATAAGTGTGCTTTCGGAGTTCCAGCTGGAAAGTTTTTGGGTTTCTTGTTAATAGAAAGGGGCATTGAAGCTAACCCGGACAAGTGTAGAGCAGTTATGGAAATGAAAAGCCCGGAGAATATTACAGAGGTCAAAAAGTTGAATGGGCGAGTAACAACTTTATCCAGATTTTTGGCCAAGTCCGCACATGTGTCTTTGCCACTATTCCAACTTCTAAAGAAAAGAAATAATTTTGCATGGACGGAGGAATGTGAAGCAGCATTTCAGCGCTTCAAGGAGATGTTGGCCTCGCCGCCGATCTTATGTAAGCCGGAACAAGGTGAGGTGTTGTATTTTTATTATCTATTTCACAGGAGGCAGTTAGTTCAGTTCTCGTCCGAGAAGGGAAAGATGGGAAACAGCAACCAGTATACTTCATAAGCAAGGTGTTACAAGGAGCAGAAACAAGATATCAACATGTGGAAAAGGTGGCGTTTACACTGTTGATTATAGCAAGGAAGCTTCGTCAGTATTTTCAGTGTCACCAAGTTGTTGTTCGGACTAATCAGCCAATAAGGCAAATGTTGCATAAGCCGGATCTCGCAAGTCAGATGGTCGCATGGGCGGTGGAGTTATCCGAGTTTGGCATTCAGTTTGAAGCGCGCAACGCGATCAAAGCACAAGTTTTAGCCGATTTTGTGGTAGAGATGACTCAACTCGGAGGGAAGGAAGAGAATGGTTGGTGGAAGTTATTTGTAGACGGATCATCCAACAAAAGAGGCAGTGAGGTAGGGGTGATAATAGAGAACCCAGAAGGAGTGGCCATAGAACATTCACTAGCATTGGAATTTCCCACGAGTAACAATCAGGCAGAGTACGAAGCAATGATTGCCGGGCTGATCTTGGCAAAAGAGCTCGGAGCTGAACAACTAGAGGTGTTTAGTGATTCTCAATTAGCAACTTCGCAAATTAGCGGAGTATATCAAGCTCGGGGAGAGGTTATGATTAAATATTTGGCAAAGGTACAAAGCTTGATGAAAGAATTTAAGGAGATCCGAGTGGAGCATATTCGGAGAAATGACAATGTCAGAGCAGATGTGTTCTCAAAGTTGGCAAGCACTAAAGCTTCTGGAAATTTGAGGACCATCATTCAGGAGAATATTCGAGCTCTGAGTGTGGTGTGGATGATCGAAGAAGCAGACTGGAGAAGCCCAATTATAGATTATTTGGAAAGAGGAAAGGAGCCAGGAGAAAAGATGGAAGCAAGTCGGCTTAGAAGAAAAGCGGCTTGGTTCGTCATAATAGAAGGTCAGTTGTATCGAAGAAGGATTAATTCTCCTTTGTTGAAATGCATAGCTCCACCGAACACGGAATACGTGTTAGAAGAGATACACGAGGGGATCAATGGACATCACCTAGGAGGGAAGTCGTTAGCCAGGAAAGCTATACGAGCGGGATATTTTTGGCCAACAATGGGAGAAGATGCTAAAAGACATGTACGCAGATGTGAACAGTGTCAGAAGTTTTCTAATGTATATCAAGCTCCTCTAGAGGAGTTGTTCACGATTTCATCTCCATGGCCATTTTTCAAATGGGGTATGGACCTTTTAGGTCTGTTTCCCAAAGCAGCCGGAGGAGTGAAATACTTGATAGTAGCAGCAGATTACTTCACCAAGTGGATAGAGGCTGAACCCGTCGCCACTATTACTGCTCGGAAAGTCCAGAAGTTTTTCATTGGGAAAATAGTCTTTAGGTTTGGTATTCCGGCGGTAATCATAACAGATAATGGGACACAGTTCATAGACAGACAATTTCGGCAGGTAGTAGCTGACTTGGGGATAAAGCACAAGTTTGCAACGGTTGAACATCCGCAAACGAACGGGCAAGTGGAGTCAGCAAACAAGATTCTAACAAACGGGTTGAAAAGAAGAGTAGAAGCATGCAAGGGAAGTTGGGTAGAAGAGTTAGACAGTGTGTTATGGGGATATAGAACTTCTGTGCAGTCTAGTATTCAAGAAACACCATTTAAAATGACTTACGGGTTTGACGCAATGTTGCCTGTAGAAGTCGGAGAACCATCATGGAGAAGGAGGTTGTTTCCAGAAGACAAAGAGGAAGAGAATAGTGAGTTGATGAAGATTGATATGCAGTTGTTGGAAGAAGAAAGAGACAAAACAACAATTGTTGAAATGGAATCCAAGCAGCGACGAGATACAACAGAACAGTGGTCAAGCGAACATTTCAATTAGGAGATTTGGTGCTCAGGCGGGCAGATGTGGGAAATAAGAATACAAGAGATGGGAAGTTAGCAGCCAGCTGGGAAGGTCCATACTGAGTAACAAAAGCCACTAATACATGAGCTTATCAAATAGAGCATTTGGATGGGAAAGCTATCCCACGATATTGGAACGCAAGGAAGCTCAAAAGGTATTTCAGTTGAAGAATTCATACTAAGGATCAAGAGAAGGAAACAGCGAGCATGTGTAGTCGTTGGTAGAATAGGTAACCTTTTAGGGTAATTATTAAAGCTTTGTTTAAGTTAAGAAAATTCGGAGTTAAGTTTAGTATAGGAGTTTATATTATGTTTAGTAGATGATGAATATAGAGTAGTTTAACTTTTGAATTCAATAAAGTAATATTTTCATAAATGTATATGACAGACATGCCAAAAGTCCCATGCCGCCTTCAATGGCCTCATGGGCACCTGCTCATTTCCTACTCGGAAGCAGGGCCAAAAGTCCCATGCCGCCTTGAATGGCCTCATGGGCACCTGCTCATTTCCTACTCGGAAGCAGGGCCAAAAGTCCCATGCCGCCTTCAATGGTCTCATGGGCACCTGCTCATTTTCTACTCGGAAGCAGGGCCAAAAGTCCCATGCCCCCTTGAATGGCCTCATGGGCACCTGCTCATTTCCTACTCGGAAGCAGGGCCAACAGTCTCATGCCGCCTTTAATGGTCTCATGGGCACCTGCTCATTTCCTACTCGGAAGCAGGGCCAAAAGTCCCATGCCGCCTTCAATGGTCTCATGGGCACTTGCTCATTTCCTACTCGGAAGCAGGGCCAAAAGTCCCATGCCGCCTTCAATGGTCTCATGAGCACCTGCTCATTTCCTACTCGGAAGTAGGGCCAAAAGTCCCATGCCGCCTTCAATGGCCTCATGGGCACCTGCTCACGTCCTACTCGGAATCAGGGCTAATATTTTGAAATGTTCCTAGTTATTAAACGATAATGAAGCGTGTAGAATTATGAAAAGATGAGCAGTATTAAAAGATAGCAAAAACAAAATTTTGCCAAGTTGCTTTTGATACAACGGTAAGCTATTTAGTCGGATCAAAGCAGAAAAACGAAATATTTTAGCAATTATAGAAGCATTAAAATCACAGATATTAAAAGATTCATCAGACAGAGTCATTACAACACCAAAAGTAATTTAAGCAAAAAACTAACAAAAGTACAAAATAAAAGTGGCATCCCACTCCTTCAAGCGTCTTTAGGAATATCCTCAGAGTTCGTCTGGCCAGAAGTTAATGTAACTCCCATGTACTCAGAAGGACTGGTGGCGAGCACAGTTATAGATCCTTTTTCATTATGGGTGTATAGTCGGCCGTTATCAACAAAGTTAAATGTGTTGATTTTATCCAAGTTGGTGAGAGCAGCATCCGGGTGGAAGAACTTAACTTGATCGAAAGTCCAGCCGCGAATTTGGTGACCAAAAGCAACATATTTAGACTCCATGTCCTCGGCAGCTTGTTGTAGTGAGGTGACTTGCTTCTTCAAAGTCTCTACTTCTAGTTCCAACTCGGCTACCCGGAAGTTTGAATCTTCAAATCTTTCTTCAAAACTTTATGACCTTCAGTCAGCTGGGCATTTTCTTGTTTCAGAGTAGTAAGCTCGTCCTCGGCTTTCTTAGCC